TTCGTCTGTCCGTTTTGTCGGATTTTGGTGTTTTATTGATAGATTTTTGGTTGAAGTAGCAGTGGGTGTTGTGTGAAAGGATAGGTCTGATGTCATGGTGTCCACAGCTTTGTTTTTTCTGTTTGAAACAAGTTCGGCATTGACTTTTTTTGTCTTGCCGCTCCGAACTCTACTAACTGGTTTTAACACCAACAAACTGCTTTTTTTTTTTTAAATTAGCATGCCCGGCGAAATCATTTAAGAGCTTCTGAAATAATTGTCTTCTTTTTATTTGCATTATTTTAATTTAGGTTAAATATGAAAAAGCTATTAGACTGACTATTATAATTAATTTTATAGCATAGCTTTCTTTCTTCTACCTGAGCATTCTAAAATTCTACTCAGAATGATTATCAGTTATGTTTTTGTTTTTTTTAAACGCCTTCTACTTCGGTGGTGACTTCCACAAATCAAATAACTGACTCATTCGTTCGATTGAGTGGACTGTGGAGTGGTTTAGTAAATTAGTTTTTGAGTTTTTGTTACATTTATCGGCTGCCTATTGATATATCATATGATATATATTTTAGTTTGTTTCAGTTTCATTATAAATTTAAAAAGTATCTGTAACTAATTAAAATAATTAAATAATATTTCAGCTCGAAATTCATATTTTCATTGTTTTGTTTGGTTTTAGTAGTTTTTGTAACATTATTTGTACTTACTAACTCATGTTTTCTCAAAGCATTTCTACTCCAAGATAATAATAGCTAGTTAAACTGCCTTCTTCCAGTTATGACTACTATTTTACCATCATATACCTTTTCAGACCCTGACTGCTAATATATATTACTACATGTCAAGTAAAAGTTTTATTGGATCATAAGTGATACTTTGATACGGTTGAAGAGTTCATTAGCAGCAGGTATCCATGACACACTGTCATAATTTATGGTAAATATATTTACAAAGTCAGCAAACCTCAAGTCTCCTGCTGAGGCTCATGGTTTCAGGACAGGCGTTAAGTGCCCCTGTTTGTATATATATATATACAAACACACTATAGTGTCTTTTGTTTTCTTGTCTTTCTTTTCAATTTGTTAAACTGAAACCAGTCTAAACTTACTGGTCTTAAACATTTTTAAAATTTTTGTTTTTGTTTACTTGTCTCTGCTTCTAATTACTTTTTTTTATTATTGTGAGAATGATTATCCTTTCTCTAAACATTCTTCAATTCCTCTCAGCTCTGAATTGGATCTGCCTCAGCAGCCATTTGGAAGTTGTCTTCTTTGTTGGTTTATAAAGACACCATACTACTTATTTTTTTTTTAAAGTTGCAGTATTTGAAATCACACACCCCAGGACTGGCACGGCACGGCACATTCATACTTTATGGTGGTTGTTACTTTGCAACAAATAGATTAATGAGAACTGGTCAACATAAAGTTCAAAGATTTTAAACATGGCTTATTGTTGGTTTAACCTTGCAGTAGGATAAATTAATGGTTACTGTTTATTATAAAGTAAAGATTTTTGTACTGAATTTTGGTTTAACCCTGCAACAAATAGATTAATGGTAACTGTTGGCATAAAGTTAACAGATTTTCTACATGACTTATTGTTGGTTTAACCTTGCAGTAGATAGACTGTTTATCATAAAAGTTTGAAGATTAACATAGCTGATTGTTGGTTTAACCTTGCAACAAATAAATTAATGATAACTATTTAGCATAAAAGTTAAAATCTTAACATAGTTGGTTGCATCTTCAGAGTGTAAATTAAGGCTTCATATAATGTCATTCAGTCATGCAATAGTCAGTCATAGGAAAAACCATGTTCATATGTCATTTGCACTTATTACATATTATCTGTTGGTTTCTATGGCTTTGGGGTTATAAAAGCAGTTTGAAATTCTTGCAAGTTAGGCTAGATTCAGATTCAGAAGCTTTGGCAGCTTTGCACTGATTTGAACAATCATATAAGTGTTGATCATTCAGTAACAAATGACAGACTGTTAAACGAAAAATTATATTACCATTTGTTTGCCTTGTTGGCAAACAAAGCTTTCTGGTAGATGGCAGATAACAAAAGAAATGTGCACAACCCAAAGAAACCTGACAAAGGACAGCAGAAAGAGAAATGAAGGAATGTAAAATGACATGAGATACCATAGACAGGAAAGTGCCAGACAGGCAGCAGTAGAGATCGGTTTTAAACGTCTTATGTGTCAGCAGTGACAGGAAGCAGATAGAGCGGTAGAATTGTTTGATCATATTGAGCAATGAAGTTTTGTGTAAAATTTCCTCTTAATTTTCTTCTTCTTTTCTCTACTCCTGGAATGACTTGCAGTGTCAGGGCAGGATAGATCTCTGGAACGTTCCCTTCGGTTTGCTTTGTAAATAGTACTTTTTTAATTGTCTTTGATATTTCTGCAGTCCATCTTCTGCATGGTAAACTTCTGGCTGTGTTACAGCTGTGTCTGTTTAACATTGCTCTCTGTGGTGACCTGTCTGGTGCCAGTCTTGTTACATTGCCAAACGACTTGATCTGCCATCTGTCAATGAAGTTCAGTATTGATTAGGTATTAATTTACTTATCCCTCTCATTTAATGTTGCAGCATATTGTGTGTGCATGTTTTTTTTTGGGGGGGGGGGGGGGGGGGGGGGGTTCTTGTTTGTATTCACTGGCTGTAAACTTTGGTGGAAAGTTCTGGTTGAAATCTACTTTTGGTCTTTGGGTTTGTTCCAGAACTTGAATTTTTGCATGCACATTTTTGTTATAGACCTGGCTCACAAGATACACAGTCTATTGTTTCCTCCCTTTCAGGCAGATGTACTCTGACTTTGTTGTTCTAAGTGGTGATGTTGGGAAATTAGGATTTAAATAGGAATTTAAATTGGTAAACAGAACAGGGAAACCTCTTTGTAGTAATGAGATAATGTGTGATGTAGGTTAGGGCAAACCAGTAAATACTCTGTGTGCAAGCAGAAAAGAGCTGAGAAATGACTTAATCCCATGCTAAAAGTGAATGCATGCGGTGAAGTAATGGCATGTGTGAGAATGGGCGGGAAGATAATGTGGCTCGTTTGTTTCACTGGACCCCCAAAAAGAGAGGTTGAGCTTGAGATTTGTCTGATCCAAGATTTGTGGTTCATGTGAGCATCCAGTTTGAAAGATGAGTCGACTGTGTATCTGAGTGCGAATTTGCTGCAACAGAATACTAGCTGTAGTCACTAGTAGGCTACTGTAACTAACAAATGCGTGTGGTGAAAGTAATATGTAAGTGGTTGGTAGTTACTTAGATCTGTTTCATGGGTGATAGCATGACAGCTGTTAGTTGTAGCTTCATGGCATGAGCTTAATAAACTGAACACTGTTAAACGGTTGTTGAGTGATCCTTGGAAGATTTGCAGTGTGAGAAGGGGCTCTGTCATCTGACCCGTTGTTTCTAGACACTAGCAGTAACTAATAGTGGGGCTTCATTACAGTTGCTGTTATTACAGAATTCCCTGCTTTCTACTTCATTAGTGTTTTATTTCTCATTAGGCAGAAAAAGAGCTCCTCCTAAAGTGGTATTTGTCTCTGTGTAGGCTGCTTCCTAGGGGATCCCGAAAGGGCACAACTCATAATGAAGGGAGCACTCAATATACAGAAATGAGATTAAGCAGTCACTTGCAGGGTGTAATGATTCCTTTGGTGAGCCTACTACCGGAGCACCATGTATCAGCTCTGCATTTATGGAAACCTTCTTGGATGGCGTGGAATGCCCATGCTCTGCTTTCCCTTTAGGGTTTACCAAGCTGCCTATGGCTGCCCTTGACAGTTCTTCAAGGGACAGCACCTGTGGATCAGGGGATGATGAAGTCACCACACATATAGTGCTACAAATGTCCCACCAAACTAGCCGGGGTGGCTAACACAAATAACAAATGCCAAAAGAAGCAAAGAAGTTGGATGTCTCTGCCGATAGGTGCATATATTGCAGTTATGCTGTAAACATACACATTACATTTATGCCACTCGGACCAACAGTGAAGAGGATGAAAAGAAACAACATGTAGATACAGGTTCTCTGTAATTCTTGCATCAAGGTGGTGAGAATGTGTGGTCAAGGTATTTTTTTTTTTTACCATGTCTTAGATCAGCGGTTCTCAACCTGCAGGTCGTGACCTTTTTTTTTTTTTTTTTTTTTTGTCAAATGACCTTTTCACAGGGGTCGCCTAAGACCATAGGAAAACACATATTCATTGAAGTTATGAAAAAAAATAATTGTTTATGTGTTGCCACAACATGAGGTACCTGTATTAGTGTTGCAGCGTTAGGAAGGTTGAGAGCCAGCCACTGTCTTAGATGTCACTGATGCTGCAGTACTAAACTGATACTGTCATCCAGTCACTGCTGCTTCTGCCACGTTCACCTCTACCTATACTTTTGTTGGCTATCCTCTGAACTTCGGGCACTAAAGATGGCAGCCGCAAGATATCCTTTTGTTATTTTTGACTTAATTAGCAGTTTTCCGGCATATCATGGTAGTAAAGCTTGCTGGTAGGATTTTGATGTCCTCACCCATCTAATGCTGATTGGTCCATTAAAGAGTGGGTCTCGTATCACAAACACAATGTGCCAGTGGTGTGAGACCTGTCCTTACTTGTCACTACTTTTAGCATTGACCACGTGTGTAAAAAATGATTAGGTTCACGGCCTAAACAGTTGACCAGATCTACTATTACATTTACTACTTTATGCATTGAGCACATATACTAATATAATTAGGTTACATATACTAATATAATTAGGTCACATATATGAATATAATTAGGTTAACTGCTTTATTTACTAATTTAATCATTGACCCAGTGATCGAGACTAATGTAATTATTTTCCACCATGTTAACCATTGACCTAATGTACTATTGTAATTATATACACTGCTTAACAAAATTTGGAAACCTGCTAAAATGTGCAAGAGAATTGTATGCATTTCTTGTTTTGCATTAACCATCATCTTATTTCCTTGCAGGCCTACCTAAAAAGTTTCTATGATGATGAAGTGTTGGTGTCGTTTGAGAACAAGTGAGTTTTTATTAGCAGATTATTCACACGAATTGAAATTATCTGTTTTAGTGATATCTATGATGGGCATGTTGTAATAAATAATTGGGTTGGTTAGTTATGTGTCCGTTACAGGAACCAGTCATAGCATTTTTTGGCTGTTGTGGTTTTTCTAGATAGATTTATGCTCTTTAGTTTTATTAGTTTGCCATTGCTCCTTAACTGTTGGCTCTCTGTAGCACTGTAGAAACCATAGCTAGGCAGTCTGCTGCTAAATTGTCTGCAGCTGGGATCAACCCTAACATTATGATTTGCATTTGCAACACCTAAGCCACAAACACTGACAACTATTTGGGAATGGAGATTGCAAAATTAAAAAAATAGAGAAATGTAAGTAAAAGAGTACGTGTCTAATAAACTTTAAACATTCGTCAACTTCTGTGTGAAATGACAGATTTTATGATTTGACATAATCACTAATGCAAAGATAAAGGAGATAAACTAAATTCCAGCAGAGAAAATAGTGGTGCTGGATAAGACCCATATTAAGAAAACTCATATCTTCTTTTCTCTAGTCCTTGTTTTGTCATTCAGCATCAAATTTTGAAGTGGCATCTGGTGCAAGTCTTGGTGTGCAGTGCATGGATCCCTGTTTTTATTGTCCAGATATGCTACATCTCCATCACTTGCTGGGGCAACTCTAGCTCTGCTTGCACTGTGTGAGTGACTGGTGGTTCACTGCCCTAAAGCAGTCTTGACACATGTCTCAACCATTTGGCCTGTTGTCTCTTGGTATATTTAGCAGTGGCAATGCCCCCAGTAGAAATAATAATAAAAATTTTTTTCCTGTGGGTCAGAAGAGGTAAACAGAGACTTAGAAATGCATTAGAAAAGATAGGAATAGAGATAATTAATATTTGGGTGGCGAAGACGGAGCTGCAGGAGTTGTAAGTTAGGAGAGCACGGCAGAAGTTTACGGGGGGGGGGGGGCATTGCTTCAATAGGAGTGAAGAAGCAGAAGAAGAAAACACTGTTAGATTTATTAATTTACTGAAATGTCTCCTCTTGTCCAGTTGGCAGCCAGATAAACGAGTCAAGCTGTCAAATGTACGTCTGCCACCAAAGCAGGGCTCTAGCAGGCCAGAACTGAGAGAAAATGAACAGGTTGAGGTAAGCACAGGTTTGTTGTTAGTCATTTGTTAAAAGATCTGTTATTGCTACAGTGTCAAGTGATTGCTGTGGTCTTTCATAATAGTTAGCGTACTTGGTTGCCAATATTGAGGTCCCAATTCAATTCCCAACAGAGGCAGCACCATACTGCCCTAACAGAGTGGTGCTGAAGTTGACGGAGTCTCTTAAAAAGGCATACTAGAAATGTTGCCTTACTCATTAAAGATATCCTACCAAATGAAAAGTAGAAGCAGTCAGCTTCACTGTGTCACCAACAACAAAAAAATGAATGTTTTAGCTAGAGAGCCTTCAGTAGCACATTGTTTTCTATGGAGCTGTAACATGGAGAACAACTAAGACATTTACTAATAAATTACAAACATTCATTAACTGGTGCCTGCACAGAATAGAGGGAATTAAATGGTATGATAGAATCACTAATGTAGAGCTTTGCAAGAGAGCAAAACAAGTTCCTGTGGACAAAGAGATGAAGAAAAGATGCTGGTCTTGGATATGACACACGTTGAAAAAACCTGAGAACAGTATAACTAGAATGTTATTGCACTGGAATCTACAGGGGTATAGAAATAAAGGAAGATAAAAGAAACACATGGAAAGGGAAGCTAGACAGCGAGAGAGAGAGCTGCATGCAATAGGGAAGGGTAGAACCACTTGGCATGAATGGGTTGGAGGCCTATGCTCCATTGGGTTTAGAAAGGCAGAAGACAATACCACAAGTATGAACAAGAATACAAATAACAACAACATACACAGAAATCACTTAACTAACGTATCTGCTAGAAATAACATTTGGTAACCAGAAATAAATACTGGCCAGAAAAAGCAGTGAGTGACATGAGCCATACCTCAAAGATATTAGATAAAACTGTGTTGGATGTTGGAAGAATAATACTTAAATCTTTTATGTATACGGTAAGAAACAAAGTCACTAAAGAGGATTAGTATGAGACTCTCCTTTATTAAACTTTAGCTGTGAAATCCAGTCTCTTGTGAATAAGCCTACCAAGGGCTTAATAGTGTATGTTAAGGACATATGCTCCATTGTGAGCTGAAAGACAGAAACAGATTTGTTTGAAGAATTCTCATTGAACATTACAAACAGACACTGAGACTCTGAGAAGCTAGAGAGAAAAAAGATAAAGAGCTTGGTTCCAAGCAAAAGTAAAAATTCTTCCCTCTCAATCTTCCAGATAGCATAAATGATTCTATCTTTCGCCTGTTTATTCTATCTGAGTTACTCTAAAGGTTCTGTATCCCTTAGTCGATAGTCGATGGCAAATAGTTTGTGTGTTTATATTTCTCTAGTTTACAAACTGTGTTGTGAATACCTTCATTTTCTTCTCCTGTTTCGTTTTTTCTTAGTACCACATATGCATTCTTAGCTGTCTGTATACATTAAGCCACTTTTAGTAGCGTGTATTCTTTGCCAACAACTCTAAAAGCCATCTCAGACGAGTCAGGTTTAGGTCAAAGCAGTGTTTCCCTGTTGGAAATTTGAACAAAGAAGACACAAACAATAGATTGCACAATTTATTGCCTGGCATATTTTGTTGTATTTCGTCAGGTGCATACTACAGTAACAATTAAATAAATGAAATAAATAGGGGAATCCTTTATAACTGAAGTACAAATGCAGCCACACTTAAAAGCGACTGCCTAGGCAACTGCATTGTCACCACCATGTATTTCTGTTTACAAAGTTCAGGACGAAGATAGCGAATCGTTGTGGCTTCAAGAAATCTTAGCGAGGTGCCATTGGACAACATATAAAGAATTAGCAAAGCATTGTCCTTGTTTACCTTTTGTAAGGAATTCAAAAGATGGTGCACCATTTAGGGGTGATCGTTTCAACCCGTCACTGGGTAGTGTTTAATAAATTTTTGTTCTTGTTATTCTCATTTTGGTTGTAGTAAGCACCTGACAAGATACAGTGAAGTATGCCAGGCAATAAATTATGCAATTTATTGTTCGTGTCGTCTTTGCTCATTTTTTTATTTTTATTATTTGGTGATGATAACAAACATTCTTAACAATAAATATGTCTGTGATTACTTTTCTGTTAATTTCTTTTGTTGTAACGCACACAGCCGGATTTGATAGTCTCTTGTTGTTCGCGCTGAAAGATGTGTCCCAATATGTTTTTCCCAAAATCGACGTTAAGATTTGAACTTCCAGTGAATGTATTCAGAGACAAGAAACCTCATATGCAAATGCCTTCCCTTGTCAGAGTTTATAGTGATTGTTGCAGGTGTTTGGCAAGGTGAAGGATGAAGAAGGATTGGCCTGGTACCCAGCTAAGATCAGGATGTTGAAGGGAGAGTTTGCAGTGGTGGCCTCCCCATGGGACGCCAATGACATCCTGCCTCTAGATAGAATCCGAGCTGTTAACCATAAGTAAGTTTTGTTGTGTTTGTTGTATCTCTCTGTTAAGTGGTTTTCTGCATTTGCCCTTCCTGTCACAATATACCCCAGGTTTCTTCTTCTGATCACAAGACCAAAGAATGTTGATTGTCTCTTTCTGATGTGGGGAATCAGTTCTCTTCATGAGTCACTTTTTTTTCAAGACATCTTCTCTTTTTATCTATATAGGGTATTCTTGTCATTCATCTAAAAAAAAACCACATCTCTGCAGGTTCCAAAAAAGTTTTTGCTAATTTACCAGCTCTCCATAATTCAGTTCCGTATTACAGTTGCAGCAAGTTGCAACAAAATCTTAAAATTAGTCACCTTTTAGGGTTTGCTTGATAAAAAAGAGTGGGCTCCCAACCCAGTAAACCCACACACGGGTGTGTTACTGGTTGACAAGGGACATAAAGATGCCTTAGCTGGGGGGGGGGGGGGGGGGGGGGTTATGTTAACCTCTTCTTCTTTCATTCACTCAAGATAGATTATCTATCTGCAATGTTGTCTCTAATATGAACTTCACTGTCTGTTGTAATTCGCATTCACTCAGCCACCCATAAAGTTTGGCTTGCACCAATGTTTCTCTTGTTGTATTTGGGACAGTCTTAGAGGAAATGATCTGTTGTTTCAGGTGTCAGTTTGTATGTACATATGGCTGATTTGCCAATCTTTAATTGTGTGTATATGTGGCTGTAAAGTTGATATTGTTTCCTGTTCTGAGGCGTAGAATAATGACTTGCTCTGGTCTGTCTATGATAATGGTCTTGTGCCGATTTTGGTGGCTTTCTCATTTATTTGATTATTCTCTTCTTCTGTTAAGAGACTGCTCCCCTTATTTAATAGAAACATAACCAGTGTTAAGCTTCTTTGCATCACTTAATAGTTGCTTTCAGTTGTCTGATCAGTCAGTAAATACACTGAAATACTCCTGGCAACTGGTAAGATGCACTGCAAGATTATTTACTTAAGATCGTTTAGCTGGGTTTGTGGGAATCTTAATGGACGGGTACTTTAGTCTACCAGTATGTTGGCCCCCCCCCCCCCTCCTTTTTTTTCGACGAGAGGGCACGTTAGTCCTGGCAACTGAACCGTGCGAAATAAGTAACATTAGGGTTGTGGTCAGAACTCACACTAAAACCACTTGCATCAGAACCATCTTTGCACCAAGCCGGCATGTAGCGCTGCAACTCCATAGGGCATTCACTCATTATAGCATTGTAAACCATGTGAAATAAACTCACAAAATTTATAAATTAAGAAAGAGATTCAAATGAAATAGGTTATACTTATCTCAGCGGTTCCAATTATAAGAATATATATAGTTAGTGGTTCTCTAAGAATATGTATAGTTAGTGGTTCTATAAGAATATGTATAGTTTGTGGTTCTCTAAGAATATGTATAGTTAGTGGTTCTATAAGAATATGTATAGTTTGTGGTTCTCTAAGAATATGTATAGTTTGTGGTTCTCTAAGAATATGTATAGTTTGTGGTTATTTAAGAATATGTATAGTTAGTGGTTCTCTAAGAATATGTTTAGATAGTGGTTCTCTAAGAATATGCATAGATAGTTGTTCTCTAAGAATATGTATAGTTTGTGGTTCTCTAAGAATATGTCTAGTTTGTGGTTCTATAAGAATATGTATAGTTAGTGGTTCTCTAAGAATATTTCTAGTTTGTGGTTATTTAAGAATATGTCTAGTTTGTGGTTATTTAAGAATATTAATGGTTAGTGGTTCTCTAAGAATATGTATAGTTTGTGGTTCTCTAAGAATATGAATAGTTTGTGGTTCTCTAAGAATATGAATAGTTAGTGGTTCTATAAGAATATGTATAGTTAGTGGTTCTTTAAGAATATGTATAGTTAGTGGTTCTATAAGAATATGTCTAGTTTGTGGTTATTTAAGAAAATGAATAGTTAGTGGTTCTATAAGAATATGTATAGTTAGTGGTTCTCTAAGAATATGTATAGTTTGTGGTTCTCTAAGAATATGTCTAGTTTGTGGTTATTTAAGAATATGAATAGTTAGTGGTTCTATAAGAATATGAATAGTTAGTGGTTCTCTAAGAATATGTATAGTTTGTGGTTCTGTTGGTTTGTGCAAAATTAAAATGAAGCAGTATTTGCATGAATGTACTGCTGAAGTAATTGTCTCACTATGAGTATGGCTTATTATGTTTCAGTCCACCAATCACGAAGGAGTCATTTTTTCAGTTTGTGCTCGAGGTGCCACCTGACCTCAGGGAGGGGTAAGTCAGTTGTAGCTGCTTCTGAATGTTTAAGCGTAGGGGCTGTCATTTGGTTTGCCTCCAGGGCCAGAGGTCTTAAGCTTGATTCTATTGCCATATGGAAACAATTTCATAATTTGATGGGTTGACTCACGATAAAATGGGTACCAGAAAATATCCTGGGAAATAAAGATGGTCAGCGTAGTATTGACATTTCCCATCAAGTGCTGGATTGTTCTAAAGAATGTGGGTTTAACACTGAGTCCAATGTGGCAGTGCTGTGAAAATAATCATGAAATTTTTGTTTGTTTTGATTCCATCTAAAGCTTGGAGTTTATCAAAGTGTTGTTATAAGGGGATCAGCCACTTCTGCTCTTATTTTTTGTCCCTTATTGTCCTTGACAAACTCAAGCAAAACAAATTGTTAATTTAATTTTCCATATTTCTTTAGAAAGGGCATAGGTATCTAAAATGACTAATCAGTTGTTGAGTTTCAAATGTTGCTTTCTTAGACTAAAACACTTAATACAGAGAAGAAGGGACCATTAAAGCAGTCTTGAGACCTTCACGATAATAAGCTTATCCTGTGATCCGTATAGATCTGCCTGCGCAGCTGTTTCACTGCCTGTTGTCAACTTGTATTTGAATCATGTCTAATACTAGTAATCGAAAGCTTTGATTATTGACTTCCCATGTTTTCTTTAAATAACAAAGTTGCCAATAAGAAAAAATGTGTGACTCCTCACATCCTCACCCTGGGACTTGCACAATGGTATGTGTGTTGTATCTCTGCAGTGTTCTATTGGTATCTTTTTTTTCTCTGAGATGTATCACACTTTAGTGTTATGTTTTTTCTTTCAAGGAAAACCCACAGTGTCTCTGTATTGTAAATATTAAAGATTTAATCATTGATGACTATGTCCAGTAGTTGATCTCTTACTGTTTCAGCTATCAGTAACAGAAAAAGCTAATATTCTTTGCACCTTTACGTCTTCTCAGATGATAGTGTTTTATTGTTATAGGGAGGCTGTGAAAAAAGCCTATGACGATAAACTGTTTTACGATAATTCCCTCACGGTAATTCGACCAATATCTGACTAACGAAAAAGCTAATGAAAGTGAAAGGTTATAGGCAACTGTAAGAGGTAGTTCTTCTTCTTTCGTTCGCATGAAATAAATTGTCTATATCTGCAAAGCCGTCTCTTGTATGAATTTCGCTGTCTTTTGTAATTCACTAAGCGGCCCGTAAAGTTTGACTTCCACAAGTGTCTCTTTTGGCCAAATGTTTTGCCTGAAAGCGTTGAATATGGGACAGTCTTGAAGGATGTGATCTGTTGTTTCAGGTGCCAGTCCACAAGTACACATGGCCGATTGGCCAATCTTAAATTTGTTGTACATGTGGGAGCGAAGTCTATTGTGCCCTGTTCTAAGGCGAAGGATAATAACTTGCTCTGGTCTGTCCATAATATGGTAATCATCTTGTGCCAGTTTCGGTGGCATTCTGATTGATTTGATCATTCTCTTCTTCTGTTGATAAGAGACTGGTATGTCAGGTTGTTCTTCAGTTGCACCTTCCTTAGCTAGTTTATCAGCTTTTTCGTTTCCGGGAACTCCACAGTGGGAAGGTATCCACTGCATTACTAATTTACAGCGGTTGCCTAGTTCGGATAATAGTGTCCGTATGCTTGGTAATTTTCCAGACTGGAGTGACTGAAGTACTGCTTTTGCATCTGTCAGGAATACCACTGGTTGTGAAAAATACCCTGTATTTAGTAGTTTCTCTACCGCTATCTTGATGGCTTGAACTTCTGCATCATAGTTGTGACAGTGCTTTCCCGTTGGTAATTTGGCTGTATCCCTGGTATTATTAGGATACTCAATGTACACTCCCGCACCTCCGTTTCTGACTGCGCTTTCTGCTGACCCATCTGTGTAAACACGGACCCAAAGGTTCTGCGGGTATTCATCATCAAGTAAACTGAGGGTGGCTGTTTTGCGCTGCACACTGTTTTGTTCTTCCTTGTCAAATACCCCTTTTACTTCAGTCTTGATGTGTATTGGAAACTTATACTCCTCTCTTCAGGGGGTCCGTTCTGGGACAGCATTTAAGGATCTATCAGTTGCAGGTAAATCAGTGGTTTGTCTGCCGAGCCGTTTGGCCTGGTGGATAAAACTACTTCTCTTTAGTCGTCCCAAAGCTAAATTTTTGAATCTTTCATTCATAGGGTGACTGGGCATACTAAGAAACTTTTCTGCTTGTAAAAGCATCTTGGTGTCTCTGCGTTTACTTAGTGCTTGGGTCATCCCCATTTACTCCATCACAGCTATAGGTGTTGATTTCATACTGCCTGTGGTAACTCTGAGTGCTTGATTTTGCACTTTGTCTAATTCTTGCAATGTGGTTTTTGATGCCGAACTCCATGCTGTTGATCCGTATTCAAGATTTGGTCGAACACTTTGTTGGTAAACTTTTCTAAGTATTTTCCCGCTAGCACCCCATGTGGTTCCACTTAGTTTTCTCAGAATGGCTACCCTCCTTCTGGCTTTGGTTGCTGCCTTGTTGATGTGTTTTCTCCATGTTAATCTATCATCAAACGTTACGCCGAGGTATGTGGGCTCCTTATCCTCTCTCAGGGGTACTCCATTTATGTGCATGGCGCCTGATTTTTGTTTAGGAGAAAGGGTAAAGAGAGTGGTGCTGCATTTGCCTATGTTGATGCTGACACACCATTTGTCGGCCCATTTAGCCATTGCATCTATGGCTCTTTGTAGCAGTCTGGTAGCCACTGTCGCATTTTCATTTGTACACCAGAGTACCAAGTCATCAGCATACATTGCAGCTTTAATTCCATGGGGTAGTTCAGAAAGCAGGTCGTTGATATAGACTAGGAAGAGTATGGGGGACAGGACACCTCCTTGTGGGACGCCATGGCGCAGCAAAACTTTCTTGCTCTTAAGTCCACCTATCTGTACTCGGCATCTTCTGTTATACAAGTATGCTTTGACCCATTTGTACATACTCCCATTCACCCTGCAGTCTCTCAGTTTCTTCAGTAGACCTTCTTTCCAGACCTTGTCAAAGGCTTTCTTCAGATCTATCCATGCCGTTAGCACTAGCTTCTTTTCCTGGAAGGCATCCTCAATTTCTTGTGAAAGGTAAGTTGTCTGGTCTTCTGTGGAGTAGCACTGTCTAAATCCTGCCTGCTGAGGCGTGAAAATGTTTTCACTTTCCAAGTACCATTGGAGTCTAAGGTTGACAATACGTTCCATTGTTTTACAGAGGCAGCTGGTAAGACTGATCAGTCTATAGCTGGAGGCATCAGAACTGTCCTTTCCTGGTTTAAGCAGAGGTATTGAGATTGCTTCTCTCCATATTTGAGGAACTTTGCCACTGGTCCAACAATGATTAAAGATCTGTAGCAGCTTTATTTTGGCTGTTGTTCCAAGGTTCTTGATCATTTCGTTGGTGATTCCATCAGTTCCAGGTGATTTTCCCATTCTCAGCTTTGATATTGCTAATTCTAACTCGCTGGATGTAAATGCTGCCACCAGTGCCTCAGGAATTATATCTTTTTGTCTTGTATGTTGTTTGTTTTCTTGAACCTCTCGCTGTTTCTCTGGGCTGACATTAATGTTGCTGTCTTCTGCAAAGGAATCTGCAAAGTGGTCAGCTGCCTGTTTTCTTGTTAGGATGGCTCCCTCTTTGCACAGTGCAATATAACAATTTCTCCCTGTATTCTCATCATTAATTTGCTTAATTAACCTCCACAACTTCCTTGTGTCTCTTTCAAAGTTTAGGGACTTTGTCTTTTCCTGCCAGCTTCTCCGTCTAGCCTGCAGTTTGGCTCTTTGAAATTTGGCCTTTGAATGTTGGTAGTTGTTAAACTGCTCTTGACAAGGTCTGGTCTCAGCCTGTTTTCTTTCTGTTTCCATATTGTTGTGCAGTTGCTCCAGATCGCAATTCCAGTACGGTTTGTATTGTTTACGCGCACCTCTTGGAACTGCTTCTAGGGCTGCCTGCAGTATGTGTTTGCTCAACTCTTGGACTACTTTTTCTACGTCATTATCTGTGTTAAGATTTTCCAGCAGAACATTTGTGCGAAGCTGATATAACTTCCAGTCTGCCTTCTTAAAATTCCACCTTGGCAGTGTGCTGCTCTCTCTTACAGACTGGCTTTCGATAGTTAGAAAGACTGGCCGGTGGTCACTGCCTCCTAGTTGCTTCCCAACAGTTCTGGTAATATTCAGTTCCATGTCTGCTGAGTGAAAGGCTAGGTCTGGTGTCGAGGTGGTATGCCATGCTCTAGAGTAGAAGGTTGGTGGGTCGGTTGGCTTATTTACGAGGATGAACCTATTCTCATCCTGCCAATCCTCTAGTTTCTCTCCTCTCTGGTCCATATGATCGTAGCCCCAACTTTGGGAATGGCTATTAAAATCCCCACAAATGATCATTTTTTCATTTATTAGAACAGTATCCAGTGCCTGAGGGCGGTCGCTCGGACAGTAATAGTTGGTCAGATGTAAATCTGTATTTTCTAACTTGAGCTCAAGAGTTTGATACTCAGCGCCTTCCATGTATGTTTCAATCCGGCCCGCAAGGATGTTATTTTTGACCAGGGTAAGAATTCCACCTTTTCTCCTGTCTTTGCGGTCAGATCGGAAACACTGGTAGCCTCTGATCTTAAAGGCCATATCTTGTTTGAGATACGTCTCTTGTAGGCAGCATACATGTATCTTCTCTTCGTTCAAGACGTTTTCTAATTCTAATTTCTTGGTATGTACTCCCTCCGCGTTCCAGTGCATTATTTTAAAGCTAGCTGTATTTTCTGCTTTTCTGGTTCTACGGGGCATGAGGGGGTGGCTTCGAGTATTTGAAGCTGGACTCTTTCTTCTTGTCGTAGGCCGGTAAATCGAACCACGTGTACGTGAGTGGGTCTCATGGTGGAAATCAAACTTATTAGCAGATATAGAAATATTCCCTGTTGCGTTTGTGCGTGGCATCCTGATTGCTGTGGTGCGCCTCCTGGCTGGTTGCCTCCGACTTCAGCACCTTGTTATGCTAGAGTAGACTGGGGTCTTACCCGTGGACTCCCATGTTTATAATGGGAGCGTGGCTCCTACGCGGTTACATTATCGGAATTAGGACACGGTCGCCGCCGTGGCTATTTTGTGGAAATAATTCCGTTATAACACCCCTAAACCACATAATGCTTGTATCCACGAACAAGAAAATATCCATCGTCAATGAATTAGTAATAATCGCACTCTGTTATCAAGAGAAAAACACCGATTAAGTGAAAATTTTAGAATAAAATCGTGTGTCGCCGCAAACACGTCCTCACGCTGCCATTTCTAAACCGGAAGTCGTCTAAGAGGTAGTGTTCCTTGGTCATGTGATGAGGAGAGAGAGACTGGAAAACATAAGAATCTGGAAAAATGAGCGGTACAGGAGGCAGAGTTAGGCGGAGAGAAACAGTGCTGGATGGTCTAAGATGGTGGCCATGAAGGTATAGCGAAACAAAGTTCATCCAGAACACCAAGTATTGAGGTCTGTGGAGGGACCTGAAGACATATGTCATCCTGCGGTGATCATGATGATGATGAGTGTTTTTTCTATTTGTAAGAAGTTCTTAGTAAGCTTCAGTCTGATATGTTACCTTCCAGTTTTAGTATCATGTTATGTACTGTGCATCATGACGTTTATATGTTCTTCTTTAACAGGCAATCAGTGAATTAATTAGGGAAAGAGGTTAATATAATTTGCAGGAACTTTAAGTTCAGTATATGTTGTTACTACAGGCACTGACATGAAAAATAGAAGGATTGAGGCAATAAGGACACCCAAGAGAGACTCTAAGATGAAGTTTGTTAGGAGATGCCAAAGGGGCTTGACTAGATTCCATCCATGATACTGAAGTGATTATACAAGGTAAAACAGAATGGAGACATAGACTGCGAGCCCTATGTGACGTATAATGGCACAACGGAACAGTGAAGGAATATGTTGTTACTGACTATTGATTCTGTCTGAAACAGTTGCCAAGAGGAAACCGCAATTCAGGAGTTCCGTAAACACATTGGTGGGGCTATGGTATCTTATAATCCAGAGGACAAGTCCTTGCATGTGCTGGTAAGTGATAATGTGTCTTTTAATCCCGTAGGTTTTTTTTATTACAACCTGGTAATTTGAATTGTTCAGTCCTTATGATATGAAGATTTAGGAGCTTTGTTCAATCCCTTTAGAAAAGCAACATGTTTATTCCAAGCCTACTCATGAGCTTTCCCTCTTATAACTTGGATGCTAATTATATTATCGTGTGGAGTTACGATGGCTCAATTGCAGTCTTTCCTGTCTTTTTACCCTACATTGCAAACTGTCCCCTCAATAACTGACACCAAGCTCTCTCTTTTATCTCCTTAATTTCTCTCACTTCTTCTTCTTCACTTCCTCTTTTACCATTGTGGGTGTCGAGGGAGATATAAGGTTCTGTCTTTAGCTCTTCTGGCCGCCTCGGCCATAGGCACATCGTGCTGTTGTAGAGTTTCTCTGATGTTATCCTTCCATATTGTTCTTGGTCTACCTCGTGCTCTACGTCCTTCTCTTTCCATGTATGCTTTGTATGGTATAGTGTCACAAGGCATTCTCTCTAAGTGGGCAAACCATTTCACTTGCTGTCTTCGTATGTAATTTAGAATTGGTTCTGTGCCGATTTTTTCTCTTATGATCTCATTCCTGATCTTATCTCTTATGGTCACTCCTACAGCCCTTCTCAGACATCTCATTTCCATGATTACTAATTTTCTTTTATGGTTTGTTGTGAGTGACCATGTCTGGCACTGGTAGCACAGAGTTGGAATAAATGTTTCTCTCACTGTCCATACAAAATCATTCATCTGTTTCTAACTGTTCTTAATGTGTCCTTAGGCCTTTCTTTATTTCTTTGATATGAGGGTTCCAGAAAAAATAACTTATAATTATGCTGATATCAGGTGTGTTTTCTGGCACTTGTATCTCTTGATTCACATGAGTCTGTTCTCTGCCTAAGCTATGCATCATTGGTAACATTTTAGCCCTTCTGTTCTGCACAGGGAGTAGTTAATGAATGTTTATTGTTGGTTAATAATTGTTTTAGCTATTCTTCGTGATTTTTATCCATTTATCAATGCCTGGGTTAGTTGTTTTAGCTATTCCACGTGTTTTTTTTATCCATTTCGCAATGTAGCATTGAGAATCAGATATTATAATTTTGAATTTTACTGTTTAGCTTCTTTTGAACCACAAATATCCTAGTGCTGTGAGCTTCTCTTATCTTTTGTGTTTAATATCACTATTTGTTCCCCCATAGTTATCTACACTTCTTCACAATGTTGAGCTTTTGAGGTTTACTGCTACAGGTATCGCCCACTTCCATTTATCTCTATGATTGGACTTATCTTTTTAGTGGGTGTCTCCAAGTGTTTATAGCTCTGTTTGCATGTTATTTCTCCACTGTTTTCTTGGTATGACTCAGTCTACTCCTATCAGACTCTTTAGTGTACATTTGTTGTCTCTCTGCTATCTGTTCATCTTTACTTAGACTATTTCTAAAATTCTTGCATTCTATTAGCTAGACTAGTGTTTCCTAAACTTTTCTTAGCTTGCGATGCCTTTTTCCATTAAAATGTTTCCACAGCGCCCTAACCTAAGTAAAAGTATGACTATTCATATTTAAAGATTTAAAAAAAACGTGTGTATCTTCGAATATTTTGTGGCACCCCTGTGAAGTGGTTGTGGCTCCCCGGGGGCGCCGCAGCGCACAGTTCTGGGAATCACTGAGCTAGACCAAACTTTCAAGACCTAGACTACTTGCAGTATTTGTCATTGAATGGCCTTTCCCTTTTTTTTTTGTAATTTCCTGGACTTCATGAAATCTGTGAGATTGTAAATATTTTCAATATTTTCAGTGAGATACTTACGTAAGCAATATAATTTTTATGATGTTGCGTGTATAAAACAGTATTCTCATTCTGCTTTACAATCTTTTGTCAGAGCACAAACCCGAGTGTCATCAAGAGAGCCTCTATGATCGGGGATATGTTTTTACGGAACATGCGGCAGAAGGTTCTACTGAAACAGCGTACAGAAGAGGCAGTCAAGAAACTTCAGGTGACGCTTTAAAGTGTTTATCTTCATACTTCTGCATTCTTTTGAATATAGGGATGCAAAAGTGGTGCTTTCCATGTCTGTTTGGGTCTTTTATGTCATCAGTCCATCTTCTCTGAGGTCGACTTTTTGCTTTTAAATGAGATATTTTCATGTTTCTAAAAATATAAGTACAAAAGAAAAGAGTTCTCAAAACACTAGAAATTCTGGAAATAAATGGATATTAAAATTAGTAACAAGCTTGTAATATTGAGGTCTACTGTCAATAATCAGTACTGTTCTAAGGAGATGAAACATGGAGAAAATGACATTGGATAGGACACACGTTGAGAAAACACAACAGTGTAACTAGCATATCTTCTGCCTTTCTAGCCCCCAATGGAGCATAGGCCATCAAGCAACTCACACATTGACTCATTTGTATGCAGACTGCCGGTTCCTTGCCCTTAGACAGATGCACTCCAACTTTGAAGGAAGCCCCCAATTTGTCAACTCTTATGACAGGCTTTTGGGTAGGCAGTGGGTCTATTCTTGTTTTCCCTTTAACAGGGCCCCAGATCCCACACGGGGATGGTCATGTTATGAGGAGGAAACTAGGACATGCTTTGACAACTGCAAAGATTAATTGGGCAAAGAAATATAGGACAACAACGCAAGAAGATTCTTGGCAGCCTTTTGTCATGGCATGAACTGATATATTCTGTTCAAAGCAGCAGATTGGGGGAAAAGGCATGATTACAGTCAGCAAGTCACCTGATGTTGAATCTGTCTCTCATGTTCTTTGTGATGCTTGTTCTGATTTTTATGAAAAATCTCATCTCTACCCTGCTTTAATCTACATTTCCAGAGTACTAAAATCCGCTCAGGGTATATGGAGGAGTTCCAAGTCCGAGACGAGCTGATGGGTCTAGCTATTGGCACACATGGCGCAAATATACAGCAAGCTCGGAAAGTTGAAGGCATCACAGGGATCGAGCTGGATGAAGCTTCATGCACATTTAAGGTGTATGGAGAGGTAAGACAGTCTTGTCTGAGATGGTAAATCTCATTTTATTTGGCTTCTGAAGCAACACCTTAATTGTGTATAGATACCCATGTAAGCGCTTTAGTCTCCTACTAATGATAGCATTATGCATACAGTATACAATCTCCATGTCACTAGTGAAAGTTCCAGCACCTGTATGTACCACAATCACATATGCTATCATGGCGGCATCAAGAACGATCAAGTTATGAGAAGCATTCGAAAAAGCATACAGATGATCCTTAAACTCACCTCACACAAACTTTTAGTAATTGACCTTCTCTTTTCACTTGGTGATGCCTAAGTGTTTGTATGTTTTCCTGTATATGATATTTGCACCATCTTCTAGGTCTGCCTAGTAATTGGTGACTATGAATTCATTGTTGTTTCTCACTCTCCATTCTCTGCTGTTTGCATCATTGATTGGTCACAGATTCAATTCAAGACTCTGTCGGAAGCTTGAAATGCGGCTTCATGAGTAATGAGATGTGAGTGATGTTCAACCCAGCCAGAGCGATTAACACCCAGTGCCACTATTGGCATGAGAATCCCCCTGGTGCAAGTCCCAGAAACCCCGTTCAACCTATAGGTTATATTAGGGCCCCCGACAACAGCCGGGGTAAGACCTGTGTAACTTCCTTGATGACTTGGATTCTAAAATCAGGGATAGGGATACAACATAGTACCTGTGTTAGATTATGAAACTGCTATTTGTTGATTTAAAACACATTAAATTTGTGAGGATTTCTGCTGTTTTAAGTTAGTCTCTTTAACAATGTTTTATTGACTTTCGCAATCAGAGTCCGGAAGCTGTGAAGTCTGCTAGAGGTTTATTAGAGTTCTCTGAAGAAACTTTCCAAGTGCCTAGAGACCTTGTTGGTGAGTGCTTTCATTCTTATGACCTAGTGAGTGTTATCTAGGATGCAAATATTTGCTAGTGCAGAAGGTTGAAGTTTTGCCGAAGATGGTGAATTGGCCTCATTGTACCATGTAGAAGCTGTTCACCTGCCAGGATCATCACACAGAGCATGACATGTCATATCTACAGCAGCAGTCCCACAGAACACTCGGACACACCTGCTCTATCAAACGTAAGGGCAAAGTCCGAAACTGACCCATGACCTTGATAGCACGTGTGAAGAGGGTTAACCACTGCGACAGAGATCCCCATTTGCTGATTTCTTTTTTGCCATTTTCACTGTTGGGGTTAGCTGCAGCGCATGTACTACCATCTTTGGGGATATTATAAGGTGGTGTTGTAAAGGGTTAATGATTAGGGGTTTGCTTAAATGGGATGTTGGGCTAAAAGATCAAGTTTTTGCACTCTAGCTGTAAACCACAAAACAATATTCCAGCTACCCTTTTCAGGGCAAATGCAACAGAAGACATTTTATCTGGGTAGCAGCCTATTTAGCCTGCTCTTATTTCCAAATGCCAAGGAATATTGAATGCACTCATGTAAGTTCTCAGAGTTGATTTTAGTCCTTATCTGAAAAGACCAGAAGTCCAGTTCACTACCTGAGGATCAGGAGTGAATACAGTATCCTTTTCTTATTGTAAGAAATGTCCGGTCAACAGGACTGTAGCTCAAGTAGTATAATTTTGTTACCTAAATACTGTACTATGAAGTTAGTCATAAAGCTTCTTGAATTTATCATAATTTAGCACAGTCATATTGCTTCTGTGTTTATTATATTCTAGGACTGTCGTTTTGCTTCTTTCTCATTTTCTGGGACAGTCACATAGCTTCTCGAATATATCATGTTGTAGGAGTCATATTTCCTCTGTACTTTATCATGTTGAAGAATAGACTTCCAGAAATTGCCATCTGTCTGAATGAAATTATCTTTGAAGAGGGGAAAACCATATTATGTGGAGATATTAATGCCTAAAACAAGTCATTAGAAAACTTCTTCAAACACTCAGGGAGAGTAGCTCAAAGAACACTTGAACCTACAAGCCTTGTATGCTTCAGCTGCCTTTGTGTCACCAGACCGGCAAGCCGTCCAGGGGACAAAGACAGTGCTATTGCCTGACATTTATATCACCTACGATATGTTGATGGAGTGTCATATGGCGGCAGGACAATGATCATCTTCTCTACAACATACTGGTGGAGAAAGGGCATGTCTGATATGCGATGAGAATGATCGGTCAGCTAGCTAACTAACTAGTTTCGTTTAGCCATGTTTAAAAAAATTATTCTGTTATTGTTTTATTTATTCCGTGCTTTATTTTATGGCTGGATTAGTGAGTTCTAAGCTTAATCATATTGAAGGATAACTATGCTGTCTCACTGTAGGGTAACCACGTAAGTTTATCTATTTTAGAAAAGCACAGCTAGTCAATAACAGATACTGTCATTGAGATGTAAAGTGTTGATTGTCCTGAAGCAGATCCTTCATAGAAATGTCGCCCCTGTAATCCTGTCAGTTCTTGATGGATTGATTTACTCGTTCATTTTTAAAATAATATTTTCATTACTATACCTTATTGTAGAATTATCATGTTAAGATAACATTTTGAATTTTATCTTCTAGGATTATCCTATTAGCTCTGTAATTTACCTTATTTAGTTATGCTTCTTTATTTTTATTCAGTTGTTGAAAAGACCTATCATCTTTTCTGTTTATGTGTGTGTGTGTGTGTGACTGTGTTCATGTTGTGTAATTTAACCCTGTTATAAGATACCTATCCCAGGTCGACCTAAGCTTGAGTGGGTACCAGGTCTAGCCCGGAAAGTAAAGGTGGCCAACATGATGCTGACCACATCACCCATCTTGTGCTGTTTGGTCTGTAAAAATATAGATCTTGCCCTATACGCCTAAAGGCGTAGAAAAGGGTTTTTACTTTTTAAAAATAAGATACCTATGCCAGATTGTATTATGTTTCCTAATTTTTTTTTCAGCGAAAGTCATAGGCAAGAATGGCCGCAATATCCAAGATATTGTGGACAAATCTGGAGTGGTCCGTGTGAAAATTGAAGGAGACAACGAGCATGAGGCAGAGAGAGAGGAAGTATGGCTGATAATTGTTTTAATGTTAATTATAATCAAAACTATAATCAGCAAGTGTTTATAAAATTACATCAAGCTTCGAAGCAAAGTGATAAAGAAAAGATAAAGTATTTGTAGTTGAACTGATAACAAGAAATATTTCTTTCGGTCACATTGTTTAATTACTGTCTGTATTTACCATTTTTTCAGTGGGGTTTTGAACCTGAAGATTTTGGGCTCCATGGATGCATCTTTTCACGTTTTATGGACATCAGTACGTGATGGGTTCAACATCAACAGGCCACCTTTACTTACTATGAAATTTCCTGGCCTGGATACATGATAATAACAAGACAGGGAAAGGATATAAACTTCGGCCACATACAAGTTGATTATATGAAAATCAAACGAACGGGAACATATAAGTTCTTGGGTGCAAACATTAACTGATCCAACATGCTAAGAGAAGAAATACTATCTAGAATACAATAAATAAGGTATACTGTACCTCAACATCTGCTAAAGTCAAAGTGTCTGTCTGGCAACAGCAAGATCAAAATATATAAGACCAGTCGTTTTATATGGCACAGCTGTGAAGCCTTATTACAGGTTTTCGATAACAGAGTCTTACGACGAATCGTTCGACCCATCAAAGTTGCAAACAGCGGGGAATGGAGAGTGAGAAGCAACAACGAATCACCACTGATCACTGGCATCGTGAGAGCTAATAGACTGAAATGGTTGGGGCCTATTGAAAGAATGACAGAGTAAAAACTGTTTACACCAGGGAGATGAATGGTCATAGACCACGAGGCAGACCAAGAAGAAAATGGAGAGACAATATCCAGACAGCTTTCGCTCTTTGGCCCAGGCAAAGGAGTCAGATTGGGTAAAGTTAGTAACGCTGTAAGAGAGGAGGTAAAGTAAAGATTGGAGCAGGGTGGATTATTTAACATCTGGGTGTAGCATAGGGTGTTATAATTTTTAAAAAATTGGGCTCATCAAACATTGTTTTTTTTCCCCCGTTGAACAAAGGGAAAGGAAAGACACACATAAATGCAACTAAACGTTTCAGCCAGTCTTTATCAGCACATAAAACAACAGGAAATTTATAGTTTGGTTTCCAGGACTCATGTTTGGTAGGGGAGGGGCAGAGAGGTTCACCCACTACCCACTACCAAGCATGTTGACTGGATCAATAACAGCAAAAACAAGCATGTTGTATTGGGTGAATACTTAAAGGTTTGCTGAAATCAAACATGTCAGGCCAAATGGCAGCCTAGCTGTACACCACAACACAACTTGTGAACCACCCTTTTAAGGGCAGAAAAAAAAGAAGAAACAGCAGAAATTATAAATCACTTCGAATAGCGGAGAAAGTGTGACCTTTTTTGTTGTGGTTTATAAATCCTGTTATATTTCCATTTCTTTTCATTCAGCTTCCTAGTAAATAGTTTGTGTTGTGTTTAATGTGCTATTAAAAACTTTCTCACAACCATGCTCTAGATGTACTGATTTAAGGTGAAAGAAGGCTGGCTTGCTATTGAAAATTCTTTCTGTATCACTCAGCACACCATGCGTGGTCATCTTCTATTCATGGGGCTTATGCACCTTCTTTTATCCTACTACTAATGCCATAAAGTGTCACAAAGGAGAGTTGTTGTTTTTTCTTTGTCTTGGTCAGACTGTTGACTTGTATACTGATGTTCTCGTGGTAAAATCTAGTTGCTGGCTGATTTTGTTCCATTCTGACCAGATGTCCAAAACATTTATTCTTTGATTTTTCTATGATATCAAGTAATGGTACTGTGCCTGCCATTTTCTTTGTGTTAGTTCTTCATTGGCCATCTATAGACAGGAGAGACATCTTAAGTGCCATACAAGGGACTAAACACCATGAGGAAAATGACATTTTGCTGAGTAAACTGCATACCCTTGGTGTACAAATTGGAGCTGCGAGACAGGAAAACCATGCGGAAGCCACACATCATTACATCAACCAGAACAGAATTGAAGTTAGCCTAAAAACACTTGGGGAGACACTCAGGGGGAGATTGGAGCACTTATGGTCGTGTCGGATGTGCAATGAAGATAATCTTTAAAATGAACAATGTCAAAACCTTTGGCCTGGAAACCCTTGCAAGAAAAAAAGACCAGAACCGATAAAAAAATAAGTATTTACAAAAGTCACTGATACATGTTTTTAAATTGTTTATCTTTTTGGAAGTAACAAGTAAACGCTAATGAAGTGGAGAATTAAAAAAATGCAATTATATCGGGGGGAGGGGTGGGGGGAGAGATGTGGTGATTCATAACATTACCTGGCTTTTAAAAAAGTTTTTTTTTTTCTTACAGAAAAAAACTTGTATAGGCAACTGGTAGTTCCATATATTTTCCCCAGGGGAAAAAGAAGTTCCAAATAAACCCTCACCATCAGGAATTCAGAGTAGATGTAATGTCTGGGTTCACATCCTAATAAAATTAGTTGGCAGTAGAAAACAAAAGATGAACCAGGCCTCATAAAGTTAATATAAAAGATTTGTCTGAAAAAGGTTGTTTCCCAACTCTACCCATGTATTACAGTAATCTTGTATATGTGAAATTTTATGTATGATTTCTGTATCAATTTTGGAAAAGCCGTTACTAATTTAAAACAGTTAATGTCATTCTCCTTGCAGGGGCAAGTGCCATTCATCTTTGTTGGTACAATGGAGAGCATTAGTAATGCCAAACTGTTGTTGGAGTACCACCTCGATCATCTCAAAGTGAGTACATTCATCAGTTCCTTTCTAGTTGTTATATAAGGCATGGTTGATTATACATTAGTTACTTTCTAGTTGTTATATAAGGCATGGTTGATTTTACATGAGTTACTTTCTAGTCGTTATACATTATGGCATGGTTGATTATACATTGCGTGATGTTATAATTGTATTTTAGTAGTTAAGGACCCTTTTCTCATCACTGGGGGATTGGATATGTTGTACTAGTCTCACATTTTATTGACAGATCAGTACTTGATGGGTGATTGTGTTAACAGCTGGCCACCTTTACTTCCTAGGAAATTTCCTGGTATCAGATTTAGATTGGATCAGCCTGGGAGCTAAGGTCAATTTATAAAAGAATCTGTCTCGATGCAGTTTCAACCCTGACCTAATTGTTCCATGCTATTATATTTTGTTGTAAAAATATTTTGATAATGTATCGGTTTTCATAATGTCTCAGTTTTGTTTTTTTTCAGTGAAAAGGATTCATTTTTTTCAGTGCTTATTATCTGTCAACGTAACTCTGCAATAATGCACCTGGCGAGACACACCATAAATATAGCAGACAATAAATCATGCAGTTCCCTGTGTGTATCCCGGCGCCCTGTTGTGGGGAAAACAAGATTAGACCCACTGCCTCCCCAACAAGCATGTCGTAAAAGTCTGCTAATCTGGGGCTAATTCGAAGTCATAGTGCCTGAGAGGCAGGAACCAACAGTCTTTATACAAATAATTTAGATCTGTAAAATGGATGTACACGCAACACACAGGTTCTGGAACAAGAGTTGCATGAACAGCCAGAACTTCCCGCTGGAGTTTAAAGCCGGTGAACATGAAGAAAAAGAAATTATGCAATGTATTCTTTGTGTCATTATTTAAATAGTCAAGTCAGCTTTATACTTTGTTGTTATTAAATAACCATGCCAGGTCTATACTTGATGTTATTATAAGATAACCATGTGAATTTTATATTCTTTATTATAATAAAACAACATCAGTTTTATTATAATAGAAAAGCTATGTCTGGCCTGTACTTTACATAATTTCTGTGTGTGTTTTTTCTTCAACTTTTGTAAGTCTCCACAGCTTTTGCTTCAGCTGTATTTAGAAAGATCATATTACTATAGTAGTGAGGTGAATGGGGGGGGGGGGGGGGGGGGGTTGAGTTAAAGAGCTTGAATACTTGCTCAATAACTTTGTCCAGCTCCAGGAGTGCTACCTAGAGGTTTAACACCACCTCAAGCCAGAAGTCTGTCCAGCAGGAACAGACACCAGATACCCTACTCTGCATCTTAACATGGTTACAGTCATATAATCACAGTTGTCATCAATGCATATTAGGCATTTCCATGTGTGCTGAGCCCTCCGATACAGCAGCCATCCCATGGTTCCTCAACTGTTCCCTTAAGAAGTTGCTCAGTCCTCTGTCTTGACTTCAAAGACAATATAGCCATGCATGGCCAGGCTTCATTCCAGTCATGTAGTTGCACTGGTGCCACATAATGGTCATTATGTATCAACCTAGTCCATACAGCGTTGACTGTATGAGCTCTGTGCATGTTCTTCCTGCAGGTATTAGGACATTACTTAATAGGTGCTCCGATTGTCCCTTGCATTTTACCCCAATATTCCCAGTTGTCTAGATCTGAGTGAGCAAGTGACTTCTGATTGCTGTCTACTCACTCAGAGCAGATACTACCGATTGCAGTTTTCTGAAGCTTGCACATAGACTCAGTATGATTATAGCATGTACAGCTGCTTGTTCAGCGGTTCATGTTAGACAAATTAGGTCACCCCATGGCTACACCAAGTTCTGCCTTGATGCACCTTTTTGTCCTAGACTTGTAAAATTCTCACTTGTTTCCCATTTACTGCTCTGAAATATTTGCGTTTACCACCAGCAGCGTCTTAACCTTGTCATCCTGGAATATTAGTACATTTTTCTCAGAAAGAAAAAGATTGTATATATATATATATATATAATGAGTGGAATCATTAAATATGAACACTGTGAAACATTAAACAGAATATATTCCTGGGGTAAAAGAAAAAAATGTATATTGGATGTCTGATCTCTTGACCTCTTACTGAAGCGAACAAGAAAATTTGACATTAATTTGGTTTTATAAAAGCGATTTGGCTCTCAGGGACCCTCCTCCCATGCTGTTTTGTTCTAAATATATTCATATCTGGGCCTACTAAATACGCAGGCACAAATAGAACAAATCGCGTTTAACTACACTTCTCAAGCAATTTATGGGGAATTTGGCCCAACCAAATGTACTGGGTTTGCAGCTTCTAAAGGTGAAAGGGATAATTTATCTAAAGATTAATGTGAATGGTTTCTTGGGGTGTAATTGCTGGTGTTGATCTTGCTGCTGTTTCAGGAAGTGGAGCAACTCCGCCAGGCCAAACTAGAGATTGACCAACAGCTTAAGTCATTATCAGGACCCCAGCCAGGATCCTACTTCCCACCTCCTAGAGACAGGAAGTGGGGAGGATACCCGTAAGTTTATGTCAGTGTAGATAGGTATGTTCACCTCTTCTTCTTCTTCTTCATTTGCCCTTAAAACGGTGATTGGTACATTGGGTTATGGTTTACCCCTAGGCTGTAACATCTGCCCCTTTCAGCCCAACAAATCAGTTTCAGCAGTTCCCTAATTAGTCACCTTTTACGAAATGATTGTTAAGGGCAGTGGGTCTGTTCTTTTGTCCCCAACATTTGTGTCACTAATTATCAGTCCTGTCTGTAGAATCTACAGATCTCTTTAAATTGATGTTTATGCACAAGCAGGGACATGGTGATCAAGTTATTAGACTACATGGTTTCCCAAGCTAGAAATGTATGGACTGTACAGCAGCAGAAGATTTAGACTCGAATACAGTTGTCCATTGGGAGTGATGGTGGTATATTGGCTAGATGCTTGCCTATTATAGCGGCTCTGTCCTGGTTTTGAAGTCCCATCGTGGCACAGTTTTATAATTGACTTGAGTGTGTGTACCCACCCCCTTCCCTTTTCCAGGCTAGCCCAGACTACAGTGGGTGCTAAAAAAAAAATGGGTGGGTGTGGTGACATTGAGAACATCACCTGTTGGATGCTAATTGGCTACAAAACTGTAGTTCTGGCACCACATGCCTGATGTGTGGATGGCGTGAAAAAGGTCCTTACTCCCCTCCCCACTCTCCCATTGCCTGTCACCAAAAAGTAGATTCATTTCTTCAGAATATCAGTCAACAATATTGTGTTTATACATGCTCATTTTCACGCTACACTTGTCAGATTTATTGTTCACTTGTTTAACCTTTTCACCCAGTGACTTGGGGAGGGGGGGGGGGGCAAAGTCATTAACCTGACCACTATAGCAAGACTGCAGAGTGGTTCTCAGAGGGGATTTGGGGTCTTTTTTTCTTGTTTCATGCCTGCACAATTTGATGCGGCCCACTGTGATTTTGTGTTGTATTCCTGTTGACTTGATGGGGAGCTGTGGTGGCGTAGCAGATAGATTTTGGCTTGCCGGCCCAAAGGCCCTGGGTTAAAATCTGCATGGAGTCAGATTTTTTTTTTTAAAGAAAATGGCCTTAGATCCAAAACCTGGAAAGTAAAGGTGGCCTGTAGTGCAAGTTGGTATGGTGTCACGTGCCCGATGGGCCACTGGTGGGAAAGTTGTCCTGTACATTTGGCTTTTTTTAATTGATGATTTCAGCATCATATTTTATAATCTTACAGAGACCAGTTTGATGATCGAAGAGGTCGAGGTGGCAGAGGAGGTCGTGGTTCTGGCAGAGGCCGTCGGTGGAATACGGATAGACATGGTATTTTGTCTGCATTATAATCTCATATTTGTTCACATCTTATTTTGTAATCATTGTAAAGTGATACTGAACTGTGCTGTATCAAAAGCTGGTACTTGCACTTTCTATATAGTGTAGAGAAAATGATAGGTTATGACACACGCAATTATGTATGTATCTATATATATATATATATATATATATATATATATATATATATATATATATACACATATATACACACACACACACACACACACACACACATATATATATATATGTGTGTGTGTATATATTGGTTTTTAAGAAAGAATGAAAAGAGACAAGAAATTTAAAAAAAAAATGAAATACTTTAGCTATAAAACTCCTAAAAAAGCCCCTCCTTAGTACAGTGTGTAGCGGCTCATGACACCAGTTCTGTGTTGGTTTCTTATTCATCTGCTTCCTGCATAGAACTTTTGTCTGGCCACACCCCTTTTAACATATTGCCGTCTGCAAATTGTTACAAAAACTTATAATAGAGAGGAGTTGAAGGTGAGCGAGAGGTAGTGATACAAATAGGAGTATATCATCAAACAGAGTGTAAAACCGAAGCAAGAAGCAGCAGAGAATGTTGGAGATCATTGCAGCAAGTGTTCATTGTTATGTCACCGGACTGGTGTTACATAAAGCTGGAGAGCTGCAGTTGAAGACATGTTCAGACTGGTCCTAGTATCCAGCTTGCCTTGGGGAAAACCAGCTTTCCAGCCAGTCATTAGCAGCAGGAAAGGGCTATTTAGGAGAGACAAGAATATTTTACCATATTTCACGCCATGTTGCTTAACCGCAGAAGTGGTTTATGATAATGATGTTGATGGTGACTGACATTGAAAAAAACCTGATACAGTACCAGAATGGCCAGAGCACTGCATTAGAACAGTATTAAAAGAATGGGAAAAAATTAAGAGTTGAAAATCTACCTAAAGTATTTCATGATCCTCGCTCGTGCTGCGGAGTTCGTGCACTGTGTTGAGATTCTTCAGACTCGGGCTTTAGTCAGAAGTAGAACGGAGCACTTATGAGTTGCTACCCTTGTGCCATGATGTTGATTCATCACCTAACTAACCTAAAAGAATGGTTGGCTAGGATAAAATGCAGATGGCTGGGTGAAGAAAATCACACAGCTGGGGTGACGGCTAACTACTTTTTACTGTATCTGTAGCATTCATAGCATTTAATGGTTAACATGTCATGAAATGGACTTGCTTCTTGCTTTAAAATTAAGATTGCTGCAGTTAAAAAGCAGCTGATTGGCACATGCCTAGTTTACATGCCCTTTCTACCTGACCGGGTATGTTATAAAAGGGATCATGAACCGGTGAGCATTCACAAAGAGAATCTATACAAACAATTTGACACAGGTCACTGATTAGAAGAAATTTTGTTAATGCAAACCAATTTGTGGGGCAGCTGGACCCCATTCCTACAATATAAGACATATTCTTTCTCACCCTGGTCTAGCAGTGTCAGACCTGATCACTTAGAGCAGTTCAGATTTTTCAAACATTCTTAACCATACAAAATGCCTGAGGATGTCTAGGCAAGACAAATAACAAATGAGGGTGCAAGAGAAAAGGCTGACATATAACCAATACTGAATTACATATAAACAAATAAGATGGTTTGCCCATTTATAGAGAATAACTTGTGAATCCCTGCCTTACAAAACATATCAGAAAATGTAAAGGGGTGTAGACCCTGGGGTAGAGCAAGAACACTGTGAAATGATAACATCAAAAATCTCGGCAGCAGTAACAAGTATAAATTATTGAGACAGCCTGAACCAAAAACCAGAATCTCCTTCAACACCCGCGTTGTAAAAGAGGAAATTAAAAAGAATCCAGATGATATTTGTCAGTATTGTTTATTTAGAAGCTCCTACAAATTACTGAATGTGGCATTGGAAATGCTTGAATGAAAATAAAACCTGTACAGTGCAAGAAACTGACGGGAATGAAATGGTAAACAGTGATCCTATCTTTTGTTGTTGTGATAGTAGAACACCATCATCTTATTTATACCAGGGGATGACTCATCTATGCCAGCGGCCGGAGTTGGCGACTGGTCAGCAGAGGTGGACGAGGACAAGCGGCAGGCAGGCTACCTGACAGACAGTGTTCTCAGTGGGCGGGGTAGAGGCAATGGAGGCTACAGGCGGGGCAGCAGGGGAGGAGGTATGAGGGGCAGAGGTGGTCTACCTCCTCGTGGAGCTGGTAAGTGACATTTTTTTGTTCTGTTTCTTCTTAGTTTTGAAAACATTTTGTTACTTTTTATTGTGAATGGTCTGCACATGTTTTGTTTTATAAAAATGTTTATTTAAAAGTTTTTTTTTTTTTTTTAAATTTGCTATAAGGATTGGAGCATGTGCTTGAGAAAATGTGCATTAATTATGAGGAAATTTCTGGGGGGGGGGGGGGGGGGGGGGCTGCCCTTTGAGCATGTTGTAAAAGGTAGCTAATTAATTATTTGTGAACTCACATATGTTGGGCGAAAGGTGCAGTAACCACAATACAACATGCCAACTGACCTTTCATGTGAGATTAATTATAGATGGTAGAAATGAAAAAATTTAGAATAAATCTGGACAACTGATGTCGACGTTTATAAGAAAAAGGTGATTCCAATATGTTGAGGCACAGTTTGAGAGGAAGAATTGGAGACAAAAGAATCACACACAAACAAGCGATAAAATAAGAGAAAATGGATCCAGTTGAAAACTTATGAGGAACATTGATGAGAGGCCAGAGATAAATATTTACACACACAAACTTGTCCACGCCTTCAGGCGTATTGGTCATGTAAGACTAGACCTATATTTTATAGGCTAGTTGGCACTTGGTGGATGATTTGGTCAACATCACACCAACCACTTTCACTTCCCAGGACTTTACCTGATACCCACTCAAGGTCAAGTCGACCTGGAAGACACGGTCATGTTTGAAAAGAAAAAAAGCCCAGCTCCGTCAGACTTGAACCCACAGGCGAGTGCCTTACCTCTCAATCAATCAATCATGTGCTGTCTCCACAATGAAGGTTGGCTGCAATGGATCTCCAACAAGCCCTGTCTCTTGCCCTTGAGGTACACTCACTCATACTGCTGCTCGTCTATCTCTTGATGTTATCCTCCCACTTGTAACGCTGTCTGCCTTTTGCACGCCTACCTTGAACCCTTCCCTCTAGGATGATCTTTACAATACTGTTATGTCTTTTAATGTGGCCAAAATATTTCACTTGTCTCTTTTTTATTTACCTCTACACTATTGCAACCCCAGAGGCCTGAGATGCTTTACTGAATTCATAAATGATATTGGTAGGACTTGCAATTAACACAACGTAAACCAGACTGGGAGATTCTCTGCAAGAATTATCAGCATATTCTGTGTGGCATATCAGTGGCACAGTAAGATGAAGATGATGATGATACTTAGTCCTGTGACATAATCTCTGAAATTCTTTGCCAGAATCATATCAATTCTGCGTAAAGATATATTGAAAAGTAATAATTATAATAGAAAAGTTTGGTTCTCTGTGACATTTCTTTCAGAGTAAAAACTTGTAGCCGTCCCTTGCATGTGTAGTATTTTCACATGGATATTCACATAGTAGATCACATTTCTGTTTTCCTTAGGTGGCTATGATGATGATGAATCTCGAGACACCAGATCACGCCGTAGAATGACAGATGATGACGATACGGTGCTTGATAATGCCAGTGTCACAAGCCAAGATGCAGGTATATATCCTTGAACTCCCTGCCATATTTCTTTGGTCGTCATGTCTGTCACAGCCTTCTATCACTGGTCTCTGTGCCAAGATGTCAAACTGTCAAACATCTCTTTTGGTCCAGCTTTCTTATGTCACATTCATCGTCGTTATTATAAAAAGTAAAAATAAAAAAATAAAAAGTAAAGATCCCTTGTCACGCCTTAGGCGTATCCAGTATATGGAAAGAGCGTCGCATATTTTTACAGATCAATCGGCACTGGATGGGTAATGTGGTCAGCATTACGCCGGCCATCTTTGCTTTTCCAGGACAGCCATCCTGGTACCCATTTTAGGCTGGGTTGACATGCGACGCACCATACCATGATAAAAATCCACGAAGCCAGCAGGGGGTTTCGATCGCAGTACGTTGGATTGCGATTTGGACTCGCAACGCCTTAGTCACAGACGCCGCTCGTCATTATCATAGTCCCATTATACAGCACCCGTTGCTGTTGACTGTTCCACCTGCCTCCACCTTTGCTTTCTTTTTCTTAAATTCGTTAGACATTGGTAGTCATGTATATCCTCAACCTTCTGTCTCGTGTATTTTCATCAACTCTGGCACAGATGATTTTCCATGCTGTGATGTCAGACTGTCCAACATCTTCTCTCACAGCTCCCTCTGCCTCTTCTTCCCTCCAACTTTCCCACCGTCTCAGTGTGCTCCAGTTTTCTTTTTCTTATGACACGACCAAAGAATGAAGATTGTCTCCTTATGATGTGGGAAGTCAATTCTCTTCATAAGTTTCTTTCAGGGCATCTACGTTATTTTATTTTTTTCGTCCAATTTGCTCTCATCAATCATCTTTAAAACCACATTTCTGCCGCTTTCATAAACATTTTTCGATAATCGGCCAGCTGTCCATAATTGACTTCCGTATATAAGTAATATCATCAACATACAAATGTGAGTCGTGGTCTATCTCCCAGTCCTTAAGAAAGATAATAGGGGCTTTTGAGCTGAAATGCTATAGAGGGATTCTCAGAATATCTTGGACAAAGAAGACGAGAAATACTAACATCTTGAAAGATCTGAACATCAGGGAAGGCTAATAAACAGCATCCTGTTGAGATCAGAAGAAATGAGTTTCAGTCGGTGTTGAAGCAAAAGAACAGCATACAGAATCATTATATGAAGGCTAACCTAGTCAACAAATGACTGAAGTTTGTCATGTTGGCCAGTTTTCCGAAAAGCTCGAATATCACAACTTTGTTATCAACAGGTGCAGTGTAAATACTTCTAAGGCCAAAAAAATATCAGTCAGAGAAGTTGCTTGATATTATTTTCAAGTTCAGTAATGCTGTCTTTTTCACTTTTTGTGTGTGTTACCATTTATATTTATTACTTTTTGTATTTCTGATTAATTAAATATTTTTATTTTAACATCAGACTATGATCAACAAGACCGACAAAGACGGCATAGGAGAAGGAAAAATCGTCAGCGGGGAAACGGTAGTGCAGCATCGGGAACAGAGACCGACACCAGTATTTCAAATTATAGAGGGGATCGCAACTCTGGCAGAGGTCGTGGAGGTTTTAATCGGGGTCATGAGTCAGATTCAGGTCATCCCCCTGGTAGTTCTACTTCTGGCATGGGCCGCACATCCATCAGTCCAGGCTTGCAGACCATTAACGGAGGTGGCGGGGATCGCCCCATCAAGCAGGAACCAGCTGCGAAGGATCAACGAGATGGACGCCCTCCCAGAGACACTCGACCTCGGGGGAGCAACAACAACTCGTCCACAACAGCAAGTACTCCTCAGAGTCAGAAAGTGGTCAGCAACCATCACAGTGGCAGCGACTCTGACTCTAAACTTGCCAAAAATAAAGTAAATAACAACAGTGCCAAAGAAAAGGAGAGGATAGTGAACGGAGAATGACTACTGTTAGTTCCTCTGTTAGTGTACAAGTGTTGCAGCAGCCTATTTTTTTCACTTTTGTTCAGTTGAATGGTGTGTTCAAGGCTGCAAATTCTGAAAGTTTAACTTATTGATTTGTTTGCTGATTTGTCTCTTGTATAGTAGGAATGTGTGCCCATTGTTCTGTTCCTACTGCTGCCTATGATATTTGCGTTTTGTAGTCTGGTCATTGTGTAATATAGACTGGCAATAGTGGAGGAATGTGTTTTTAAATTAGTGTCAGAGAATACTTTTTGTGGTGAATGAATGTTTTATATTTGTTATGAAATTTGGTTGTGTTTCTTCTATGCGTGAAATTTGTTTTTTTCTATTTAGCCTGTGTATGTTTGTGTGTGTGTAGACTTAACAAACGGCCATGCTTTAAAATGACCTTTTTACACTTTTATAAATGCTGTGATGGTACAAAGCTTTTCACCCCACTTGTGAAAGATCAAAGGCCACGTACACCATGACCGAGAATATGAAAATAGTCTTAACGCCCAGTTTAAAAGCTTATATACACTCCTGAAGTGAACACTGTTTTATTTGTAATAGGGTTGCAGAAACTAAGTATTAGGAGTGGGAAGTGTTCTTATGAGATTTGTTTGCCTCACAGTGAGACAATAACTGCACAATTCATGCCAGAATCAGTAATGAGATGGTAACTATGTAGGGAAATGTTGTAATTCTCCTCAGTGAGATAGTTATTGTGTGTTGGCATGTTTAGTCAGGATTCTTGTTAAGATAGTGATTGCATGTCAAAATACTTACATTGGTATCCTAGGTCAGATAATAATTGATTGGTAGCATATTTCTGTCAGCATCACAATAAGACAGTTATTGACAGTTTGAATGCAATTTTTTAGTATCCTTGTTAAGATCATAATTGAGTGTTAGGATATTAAAATATTCATGAATCTATGGTAACTGAGTTTTTTTGTGTGTTAGGTATATTTATGTCTGTTGACATAATAAGACGGTAACAAAGTGTTGAGATATTTGTCAGATCGTGACTGGATATATGTTAAATATTTATTTGATACAGTTGACTGGGATCTCACACAAACTGAGCATGGCTAATCTGTGTCTTCAAAACCTGATCTAACTATTTGCTCCATCAACTTGGAGCTGTTATGAGGAGGCTGTAGAAATACAGCTAGCTGACTGATCTCAAACAGATGTTGTCCAGACATTATTCAAATCACTGTCAGTTCAGGAATGTACAAATCGGCAGCCTCACCTAGACAGGGAATTTGGGGTTTCTATGAGGTGTTGTAACTGGCTCTAGTGAAATGTTGTTCCAAGCACTTTTACAGTCTTTTAATGACATCTTAGATTGTGTGAATTAAAATATTTGTATAAGTAATTTTGCTATGTTACTAAAAGGTTATTTGTTTCTGTTTGATAACCAAATCTTGTCTGTCCTTATTTAGAATAGGAAACTTCAACAGTAGATGACACTGAGGTGAGGAGTGTTGCTAACAAAGTAGGTTGTGAAAGACTTGGTTGCAGGTGAAACAGAGCTTCTTGGCTAACAAAGTAGGTTGTGAAAGACTTGGTTGCAGGTGAAACAGAGCTTCTTGGCTAACAAAGTAGGTTGTGAAAGACTTGGTTGGAGGTGAAACAGGGCTTCTTGGCTAACAAAGTAGGTTGTGAAAGACTTGGTTGCAGGTGAAACAGAGCTTCTTGGCTAACAAAGTAGGTTGTGAAAGACTTGGTTGCAGGTGAAACAGGGCTTGGCTAACAAAGTAGGTTGTGAAAGACTTGGTTGCAGGTGAAACAGAGCTTCTTGGCTAACAAAGTAGGTTGTGAAAGACTTGGTTGCAGGTGAAACAGGGCTTCTTGGCTAACAAAGTAGGTTGTGAAAGACTTGGTTGCAGGTGAAACAGGGCTTCTTGGCTAACAAAGTAGGTTGTGAAAGACTTGGTTGCAGGTGAAACAGGGCTTCTTGGCTAACAAAGTAGGTTGTGAAAGACTTGGTTGGAGGTGAAACAGGGCTTCTTGGCTAACAAAGTAGGTTGTGAAAGACTTGGTTGCAGGTGAAACAGGGCTTCTTGGCTAACAAAGTAGGTTGTGAAAGACTTGGTTGCAGGTGAAACAGGGCTTCTTGGCTAACAAAGTAGGTTGTGAAAGACTTGGTTGGAGGTGAAACAGGGCTTCTTGGCTAACAAAGTAGGTTGTGAAAGACTTGGTTGCAGGTGAAACAGAGCTTCTTGGCTAACAAAGTAGGTTGTGAAAGACTTGGTTGCAGGTGAAACAGAGCTTCTTGGCTAACAAAGTAGGTTGTGAAAGACTTGGTTGCAGGTGAAACAGAGCTTCTTGGCTAACAAAGTAGGTTGTGAAAGACTTGGTTGGAGGTGAAACAGAGCTTCTTTGCTAGCATGAAATTAGTAGTAATTTAGAGCTTGTTAGCCAGAACTGGATAGTTGAGTAAATCGTGTTAGCTAAAACTAGGTAGCCAGTTAAAGCTTATCAGCTAGAACTGGGTAATAAGGTAAAGCTTATCAGCTAGAACTAGGTAATGAGGTAAATGTTATCAGCTAGAACTGGATTTTGAAGTAAAGGTCTTAAGCTAATACTTGAGTAGTGTAATAAAATATTTCAGCTAGAACTGATGAGTGAAATAAAGCTTATCAGCTAAAACTGGGCAGTGAATTAAAGACTATCAGGTAGAACTGGACAGTCATATCTGGTTGGAATTGCTTGAAAACAGGACATTGAAAATGAATTATAAATGTGTTCAATGGTCATTTGTTTCAGGCTCTCTAGTCTCTTATGGTCAGAGTTATCAATGAAGCTGTCAGATGTGAACATAGCACATGGAAATGGTACAGGAGCAAATAGATCCAGTGCTATGCACATGCAAGTCATTGCAGCTTTTCTTAAGAAACAGCTTTGTGTTTTATTTTATAATCCAGAGACCTGCAGTAGCAGCTCCTGTTTCCAATATAGGCTGAGTTCCTGATCCACTGATCATTGCTGTCAGTACAGTAATTTCTGTAACACAAATCGGTCAGTTGATATTGTTGAAAAGTAAACAAACAAAAAAAATTGAACGCTTCAACCTGCCTCTGGGGCTTGGTTTTATTTGCGTTCACGTTTCTGTGCGGTTTTGATTTCGTTTGGTGACGTGCACTCACACCTGCTGGTTTCTGCAACACTGTTTGGGAGTGGATGCCTACTAGTCCTGATAAGGACTGGTAGAGTTTGCCTGGGACGGCCTCGATCGGAGTAGGGTAGGATTGGGTTTTGCGGTCGACATCATGCCTGGTTGGTCGCAAGCTGTGTGGTGCCGGGGAGCTGGTTTGGTGGGCTGTCATGGCGGTTTGGCTGGTTCTGATTGGTTGTTGGCTTCGTGGTTCCGGGGTCGGGCTGGAAATCGGTCAGTGGCTGTCCCTGTTGATTTCAACGGTTGTCCAGACATTTCTCTGATTTCTTCATATTTCTTGAGTTCATCCTGTTTAATGTTTTTCTACCAGAGACTGCCATTACTGCCTTTATGTATTTATTACCTTTGCTGTGTAGACAGAGGGGTTTTTGAGCCCGAGGATTTAGGCCACATGGCTAGCGCTATCGCCACTGACTATGCAGGTTAGGATTATGTTTTGTGCCACCAAAAGAAAAAAAATGCCTGACCTCTAAGAGGACCCAGGTCACCTGTATTCTCAACCATTCAGCCAGTCACTTCTTTTAATGATTATCAGTTTCCTCTTATGTCTATCCTTTCTTATCTTTGTAAGTTTTGCCAGGTATTTGAATAGTCAAATTTAGCTTAATGCCAAAACGTTGATGCCGGTCATGTTTATCTGCATCACTATACAAGACAGCCTCATTTGATGCCTCACACTGTTATACATGGGCAGTGTTTGTCTATTTACCATCTGATTTCCATCTGTTGTTTAGGGATTGTAAATGCTGTTTCATAATCCAGATCCACCAGGGCTCAAAATCAGTTGTAGACAATTAGGTAACACCTTTGAGTTTATTTTGGCAACCGTATGAGCTCTAAACCATTCAGGAAGCAATAACAAACTGCAAAATGTAAAATTTTATGCGAAAACACCATGCAGCTGATAAATGCTGGGGATAAGGACATGTAGCTGCCTTTTAAGACAGTGTGAAAAAGAAGAGGAGGGGAGCATACACCCCTTTGTGTATTTGCTACTTTTGCTGTATAGACGGAGGGGTCTTTAAGCTTGAGGATTTAGAGCCGCATGGCTGGGGCAGGTTAGGATTTTTTTTCCCAAGTCCTAGACAGAAGATTTTCAAACTGGGTATCCCGACTGAGAACCAGGCATTCTTAACCAACTGCTCTGCCAGCCTCTCCTCTCATCTAAGGACATGCAAATTAACTTTTCAAAACCAACATTGTTTACTTTAGCTTTAGTTATGTCTTTAGATCCCAAAGGCTGATGTATTCCAAACACTTGGCTACCTGTTTGTTTACCTGTTTTTCAACTTTTTTGTTTCTGATAGTCATCTTTGTTCTTCATTTCAATTCCCCCACATGTATCTAGAAGCCTGGTGTATGTGGTAGGAGGGGACTACTGGACACATATATTGTCACTTTCTAGGTACGACTGTGCATGTGAGGCTGGAAAACTTAGCTGTCAAAAAACCTAACACTGACTGAAGAAATATAAATGCATGTCCGTTGGCTCTCCTGCCAGTAGTTGACTCTTGCCCCTTTAAATTAGCTCACAGTTTGGACCAATCAGTATCAGCAGCCACTTCTGGCTGCCTACTAGGGTTTCCAATTGTCTTTTTTTTTTTTTTTTCACTTCAATAATGTACCTTGGCAGACTTAGCTCTTAGCCTTGGTTGGCAGACGGACTTGGTTGAAACTCTAGCATATAGACACACAGTGCACTTCTTGTCTGGTCTGGCAGCATGCTTTGTTTTAGATGTGTTGGTGTTGCCTTTTCTTTGAGTAAACAAGGCAAACTGAGCAAGGGATCATGCTCTGTGAGCAACACATGATC